CGGGCATCGGCACGGCGCGACCCGGGAGCCCTCCGCGCGCGCCCTCCATGGCCCGGAGCCGCCGCGCAGCCCGAGAGCCGGGAAGGGGCGCCCCCCGCAGCCTGGGCCACAGCGCTGGCCCTCAGGGGAGGTGCTCGGAAAGTCCCGGCAGGAGGAGAGAGCTTGACCTGTTCCCTGGAGGGACTGCCCATCCTCCACAAATTCCCTCCTGCAGCGCCCAGCCCAGATAAGGAAGAGCCTCTTGTTGGCTCTTCCTATAGTCACAGCCCAAGAAGCCTTTCCGTTCAAACCCTGTTCTCCCTTTCGTAGAATTGTGGCACAAGGACTGAATGTCCCACGCCCGCGTCCCCTACAAAGGGGCGGTGGTGGTCTGAAATTCTTGAATGCTTGTGGATAGAAAAGGTATGCCACCTATTCCTGCCCCTTTTCGATCTCATCAGACTCTGGTATAAAGACATATCTGCGATGATAGTTATTTGCATGCTTTGCAAAAAAAAAAAAGATGACTGTTTATAGTTTTGTAGCTTGGACGCTGGTGAACACCTGTTACCTCGAAGCAGCTCCATCCAGGTACTTTTAGCAGGTGGTGATGCGAGGAGTAGGCAGCAAGGACAAGCCGGGAGAGCACTGGACAGGGAGAGTCAGGGGTCCCTGGGTCTTGGTCTGGGCTCTGCCATTGTAGAGCTGGGACGAGGAATCTCAACTCTGGTCTCGGTTTCTTCAGCAGTCGAGTGAGGGTTTGCGTTTTACCGTCTGCAGTCTATGGCTGATCTTTTGTGTGTTATCCACGCAATTGAAATAACAGTATAAGCTCCTCTGGACACCTGTCATGGCGTTGAGCACTGCTTACTGCCCCATGAATAACTTCTAAGCTGCAGTGTCTGGTATGCCTCTAGTTAGGAATGGGGCGGCTTTTGCTTTGTAAATGGAGACTTAAGGAGTGTGCCTTTAATCACCAATCTCAAGCGTATCTTGGCTGTAGTGGTCACACGAATCTGCAAAGATTGATTAAATTGCACAGAACTAGATAGACACAAGTGCATGTAAACTGGGGAAATCTGAATAAGCTTGGTGGATTGTATCATTAATATCCTGGTTGGGATATTGTGCTATAGTTTTGCCACATGTTACTGTTGGGAGAGGCAGGGTGCAGAGTTCAAAGGATGTCCCTATATTATTTCTTACAGCTGCATGTGAATGTATAATTATCTCCAAATAAAAAGTTTAAAAAGTGGATGGATATGATAAATCAAAAGATAAAGGACCATATAAATGCACCTAGAGTTTTTGAAAGTCCCGTTGTCCTGAAACAGTTCCTCACCAAGCTGGTATTGACTTAAATCTCAGCTCCTACCTGGGACTGAGATTCAGACCACTATATTCACTAAAGCAGAAACAGTGATTTCATTGCCTCCATAAATCACAGACTTTGCAGCCACAGTCGTCATTGACATTTTATGTTCGTTGAATAATGATTGTCAGATTACCCATCTGCTACTTGAAAGGGTTATACTGTTCATTCCTTAAATTTAGGTGCAAATTTACATTCATCCTTACTCAACATTGTTTTGCTGAGGTTTTGTGGGGTTTTTTTTGCCCAATCTTCTCATTAGGCATCCTTCCCAGCTTAGCGTTATTTGAATATTTATAAGGCTGCTGTCTATATTGACATTAATAAATATGCTGAAAGGGACTGGACCAAACCTTATGTGGCCTGTTATGGGGTCGATGCCCTCCTCTCAGACCCACATAAATCCTTTCATCACCATTTTTGGGGTTATATAGGTAAGCACATCTACCCGTGCTACCATCACACCTAGACTTCTGTATCATGTCTGTTATATCATTACAAGACCCTGTCCAACGTCTTGTGAAAATATCAGTGTCTTGTGACTGAAAGGCATAACATTGAACCAGTGTAGACTTCTAGTGGTGACAGCTTTCTTTTCTAATAACTCACAACTCAGCCAGAATTTCCAAGAGTGGCATATGGTTGTCAGCATCTAGCCTTTGTTTTTTTGAAAGCCGTGGGCGCATTTGTTCTGTGTAGCTTCTCAATTCTTGGACATTCAGTGTCATTGCTCAGTAGGCACGAGGGTGAGCATGTACTCTTCAGGACCCGCAGAGCATAACCCTGTGAGCATCCACGTCTAGGCATTTAATTGCCTTAGATGTGTGTGTTCCACTTTTTCAAATCCGAGGTTTATTTCCTTTGATAGAGAGGGGATAGCTGAAGTTAAAGGGAATTTTGCTTTCACTTTATCAACAGTGAATGAATGAATCAATGAATAAAAGGTAAATTGAGCAAACTTTCAGAGATTTAAACAATAGCTAATCCTGTGGGAGATCAAAATTGGCCACCTCAAAATATGTCTCTTTACCTTGATTATTTTCTCTGATGGACATTTGACCTCCCCCACTAACTGCCTAAAGAATTTAACATAGAAGGCCTGTTACAGGAAGGAGCCACTCCCATATGATGGCTGTAGTATAATGTAAAATAGATACGATAAGAAAGGCACCAACAAGCCCATCTTATCAAAAATTCTGTCTCTCCAGCCACATTCTCTATAGATGCCCCTGTAAAGAGTTGTCTGACAAACATTTGCATTTCCATCTCCATGTGAATTGTCTTCTTCCCCTCTGAAATCCCAAACCACTACCCTAACATCCTCCTTTGTCTATCTGAATATGCTATTTAAGGTGAAAACCTCCGCCATTTGTAGAGAAACTCAGTTTGCCTGGTTTCTCCCACGTATACATGTCATTAAATTTTGTTTGATTTTCTCCTGCTATTCAGTCTCATGTCAATTTAATTTGTAGCCCAACAAGAAAGGACCCAGAGTGGGTAGAGGATAGTCTTCCTCCCCTTCATCCTCTATATGAAATAGAGGTCAAATTATTTTAGTTTTTTGTTCTAACAAGAAAAGAGATTTAGGGCCAGCCCCAGTGGCCTAGTAGTTAAGTTTGGCTTGCTCTGCTTCAGCGGCCTGGGTTCAGTTCCTCGGCATGGACCACTCATCTGTCAGTGGCCATGCTGTGGTGGTGGTTTACATACAAAGAGAGGAAGATTGGCAGCGGATGTTAGCTCAGGCGAATCTTCCTCAGCAGAAAAAAAAAAAAAAACAGATTTATAATTATAAAATGTAGTGGAAGATGGAGTTCCAAAATTTTGCATTTACCTTTCACATTGGTAGTTCAGTTAGTGGGGTCAAGCTTTCCAGAACACCTCTTAATGTGATATTTTAAAGAAAAAGCAAGATTAGCCATTTCCTACTTAACCCACAATGTATCTCTGTTAGGGTCCCTGTGAATTCAGACTGGTAGATGGTCAGTTAAGATCACAGCACAGATGTGATGGCAGTTAAAGGAAAACTTTGACACAATGATTTCACCCTCAGTCACCAACGTTTGTCATCTTATTCTTGATTTCTATAAGCTATTATTATAGACATTGGAATTTAACTTAGCTGCAGATCTTGGCCCAGTGACAAAAGCTGAATGCCGCACAACCCCTCCCCCGCCACCTCCCCAATCACCTGATAAGGATTTTACCCTAGGTCTCGTTGGTTGGAATATTTGCAGATCTCTAGGGGAGAGACTTCCTCTTTCTGTGCGGGGATGAGAGGGAGAGACCACTTGGTCTCTACCTGTGCCTGGTGCCATTATCCTATTTGGAGACTCCACCCCTGGAGTTTGCATCCTGGGGCCGAGTGCTTTTAGCTGAGGAAGAAAGCAGCCACAGCAACTAAGAAATAGTAACTATCATTCGCAGGAACCTCCTCTGTGCCACGCACATTATATGGAGGGACTCAGGTCCTCGCAGCAGACGCTCTCAGCGCACATATCACATTTTACAGAGGAAGAAACCGAGACCCAGAGGGGTTAAATAACTTGCCTGAGGATGCTGAGCCCAGGTCCCAGAGAAGGACTTATGTCCTTCCACTCACAGGGACCATTGCCAGCTCCAGTAGCACAGAGCGGTTTTCCTTGAGCGAGTGTGCTGC